AGACTGACTGAATTAAGCAGAAAATACTGACACAGCAGTATTTGCGGGCGACATGAGTCAGTCGACTGAGCCCTAAGAATCCAAATTTGGTTTGTATTTCATGCTAGCCGCTCCCCCAGTCCCAATGTAATCAACCGACACGTACCAGTCTGACGTAGTCTAGTGCAATTAAATCGTAGACCCATTTGGGTCACGTGACACTACGAAAATACCGAAGTTCGGCTCTCATGTAATTTCAATGTTTGATCGGTCTCTACCCCTCCAATGCCATACAGTAACCTAAACTGGGCAATTGATACTGCAAAGACTCCTGACTGATATTCACATGTACGCGCCATGTAACAAGGTGCTGCGTGACTGGCAACCTAAGGATGCCGTCATGTATCTTTTGCGATCACCAGTGTACCCTGGGATCACTGTTTAGTTGAGCATCTGTGGGCATATTTATCAGTTACGACGAAATCTGGGTAAGATGAGGTGGAAAAAACAATCGGGAATGGCCTATCAGGCCAACTTTGCGAGTGTGTCATTCTATCAGCTCTTATAGTTCTACCTAGACGAAGCGATTCCTTTTTCCTGTTTACTGAAGCTCAGATTACACCGAAACGCAAAAATTCGTGCATCACTGACTGAGTTGATTTCCTAAAGAACATTTAAATTCTTCAGTGCGTGATGGATATCAGCAGATATTAATTCGATCACATATCCAGCTAGTTCCTATTTTCCGTTTAGACCTTGTTTGGATGTTTAAGCAATCAAAGCCCTAAAAACACCATAAACTCCAAAAACAGTATTGTTTGATTTGGTTTGATCACCATTAAGAGGCTAACTTCTACTAGACTGAAGGTCTATCCAAGATATAATTTCTTTTCCTCTTCATCGTGTACTGTTGACAATAAGTTTACGAACAATTTTCCATATTTGCCCGTTTTCTGAATTGCGTGTTTGTTCACGGTCCAGTGTGATTTTCCCATGACATGTCATGACAGGACATTTACATTGATGGAGTTCAAACTAGAATTATCTGCTTTCATTCACATCACACTCATGCACCACCATCATCACAGGTTCGAAATTTACCTAAAAACAACTAGCAAGGTAACTGTTACTGCGATATGTTCTATGTATACGTTTTTATTTAAGTCAACTTTTCAACGAAAAAGTAACGCAGTTTAACAGGAAATCGTAATATCCTCATCCGGATGGTCAACATGAAGAATAAATGATCAAAAAGGTCCTTCACCCGCTTCATTTATTATTCGCCTTGTCTGGATTCATGCTCACCTTCTCACATATCTGTCATTTAGTTCAAGCAGTTCGGGATCTATTCTAGTCAAGAGCGTCCATTCCAGATGATTTTTGTTCTCATTTCTTACTTTCAAGTGATATCCGTTCGATAAGGAAACCCCACTTTTATTTTTAATCAGCCACAATGGTTTCAGTTCTTATGATGTTTTTCTGATCTTGATCAGCCTTTACTTACTTGTCCCTGGTCCAAGGATACATGCAAACATTGCTAACAAAAAGCTTCGTTTCTGCTTACTTTTTAGCCGACTGCCATTCGTTTGCCACACGGAGTTCAACGTTGAAATCATGTTTACCGTAGTCGGTGATTCAAGTGTGCTTTTAAACCAGACGACACCGTTGGTTGAAGAAGTGAGAACTGACCGTAATTCGAGCTACGCAAACCCAAAGGGGCAAGGCGGCGGTGCTTTTTTCCGACAAAGTCTTGTGGAAGTGGAAAACTTGAACCAGACTTATACCATTATCTTGCTCACGAGTTTCATGATAGCCGTCAGTATCATGAAGGTCTTCTACAGTCTGAAGCTATGGTATTTTCACTTTATTCCTGAATCGCTCTCACTTCTGGGCATCGGAGTGATATTTGGGTGTGTCATGAAGTATTTTGGTATGAAAGTTCGCTTCCTCACTGAACAAACGTTTTTTGTCCTTTTTCTTCCACCGATCATATTCGAAGCCGTTCTGCACCTTCAGAAAACATACTTCATCAGAAACCTACCAGTAATATTAATCTTTGGGTTTATCGGAACGTTTTTCAACTTTATCTTTCTTACCCTTAGTTTTTTACTATTAAATGAAACGTCGATTTTCTCATCGGAGGGGCTACGTTTGCACCCAACAGCTCTGATTCTGTTTGCGATCCTAGTGGGTTCAATCGATGCAACAATGGTGCTCGGTATTCTCGGAGAGCTCCACGTTAACCCTAGTTTGTACTTTATTTTTCTCGGAGAATCCGTGATTAATGATGGGGTTATCGTTGTCCTATTTAATTATGTTCACACCATTAGTTGTCAACCACAATACGTGAGCAGACAGGGAGCTCACCTTCTCATTGCTTATGGTATATTAGTACTGGTCGTTAAAATTGTTGGTAGTTGCATTCTCGGAGCTACTAGTGGCTGTCTGACTTGTTTCGTAACAAAATATACCTACAGTTACACGGTTATAGAACCCTTGCTAGTTTTAAGCTCTTGCTACCTTACCTATCTGTTTGACTACAGCATAAGTTGGTCGGGCGTTTTTTCTCTTCTATTCTTTGGCCTTATTCAACTTTCTTACACTTTCGAAAACATATCCCCGAAATCCCGTTTGACGATAAAGCTATTCACGCATATGACTGCAGCTACCTCAGAATCCCTAATCTTTCTCACCATTGGATATAATCTCGTAGTCCACATGTCAAAATGGTACACAAACTTCAACTTGATCGCTCTGTGCTTGTGCACATTATCACGTTTTTTGGTGGTCTACACATTATCATCACTGGCTGGCTGGTTTAATTGGTTATCAAATCCGATTTCACCTTCAATGAAGCTAATTATAGCGCTGTGTGGGATGCACGGACCCATCAGCCATAGCCTAGTGGAAATTGTGAAACCCACATGTGTCATCCCGCTGGGCTTACATCCAAGCATGTTGCAGACTACGGTATTGTTCATTGCCTTTGTTACCGTGATCAGTATGAGCATCTTAATTCGACCACTGTTATGTGTATTCCGGATGAAAGTGGAGAAGCAGCCGCTGAGTTTGTTCACCATGCTCAACGAACGGATGATAAAGAAAATGCTGGATGGTGTGGAGGTCATCACTGGTTTCGGTGGAGGCAACAAACTAACCACGAGGATATTCACGTGGGAAAAACGGTAAGTCCCAAAGCCAGATGGCATTTGGATGATATACGAAGTTAGGTTTTGTGGAACAATTAATATGGGGATTTCCCACTGGTAAGTGCTGGACACTCGAAGTACAGCATTAAATATAATATTCAGCCTTCTGGCTAGCTAGTGAAAATAATTCCGAAATGCGGGCTCAGGTGTGATTCCTCGAACTCTCTCCAGCAGGTGGTGAAGCAAGGGATCACCTGTTGCAGGGACTGCTGTATGGTAATACCAACCTCGGCCGTTTACAAAAAACCTCCACATAAGCGTCACATATATATCTAGCCGTGCATGGTCTAATTAACCATCTCCATTGTTCACAAGGTCAAAAGTACCCTGCTATGGGCGAAACCGCTAAATGATATTGACATGCCGTACAAATTGCTCAACGAAAGACAGCCTGTTTTACCGGCAAAAGGAAAGTACACTGAAAGGCAATTGCAAAACAACAGTTGCCCAAAATGTATTCTGCGGAATTATACTATAAAGCTTGATATATGTTAAGATTATGGTTACCCAAAACTTTGTTACTCTGAAGCACTAAAATTAATCTGAGCTAGCTGAGATTTTTCAATGCGAGAAGGGTATTGTATCACAGTTATTAACCCAGAACTGTTCCAATGACCGGATCTTTATTTGTACCTATGCACCATCCTAAAATCGTGCCCCATTTTAGTCACGAAGAGACAGACAAAAACTGTGAGTGGTACAGTGGAAGATGGTAGTGCTTCATTACTCTGATGGCGAAAACAGCTTCATCCCAAAACCCTTCACATCATAAATTACATGACGATTGGATCTCATAAAAATCGGTTTCCAAAAAAGTCTACCATGTAAAAATGTGATTGTTGGACAGAAAAAGAAACGTTGCAGCTGCTCGTGTTCCGCACTTCAGCAAAACTCAACTCATTTTGGTGATAAAAACAGCAAAACAAACCTTGTCCTGTCTCGGTATCCAAGGTAACCCAAAATGGCGATGTCTTTCTGGTGATTCAAGTGTAAAGGATAAATCAAAACCAGTGGATATCACATAAGGTGTGTGAGAATGAAAGAGCCTGATTATTATTCCGCAGTGTCGATCCGTTTATGTTTTTGAAAGATACCGCACAACAAAACCAACAATTACCATGCTACCGCACTTTGGATACTAAACCTATTCAGACCGCCTTCTCTACCCACAAGATTCGAATATAGTCCATCCAGTAAACAACACAGTGATTTTAGCAATATCAGAACAATTCCCTTTTCGCTCCTTCATTACGACCACGTTCTAATATTTCACACTGGTAACTAAGGCGATCCAGTTTTTGACCTCCAAAAATTAGCATTTAAAAATCACTTTTCACCAGGAGTTCGCAACACCGAATTCCTTCTACTGTTGCGTACCTAACACGGCTAACAAGTTGTATGGCAACAGGAATGCAACATCCAGCTCATTTGGAGTGCTGATCCTGTCGGGTGCCTCTAAATAATAAGGTTACTTAACGGGCATAGTGATTTTGAATAAGTGCGAACCATTCCAAGGAAATGTCTTTTGATCATGCTGTTTTACAGCGAATGGTGAGAACAGAACAAGATATCGTAAGTGAAAATTCGCTTAATTACCTGCTCGTGTTTATTCGTTAGCAGCCTGCGGAGATTCCTTCTGCGTGAACATGCTACGCACGATGAACTCGTCAAAGTGTTTGGAAAGATTATGATGAACTTACATTATGCAAGTCTAGCTTCAACATCAGCCGAAGTTGAACATTACCTATCTCGGCTAGCTCCAACTGCAAAGATTTTAACAGCACGTCAGGACCCTTTAAACCCAATGCCTAGAAAGAATAGCCAGAAACCTGAATTTGGAAGTGAGATTTTTCGTTCCTACGTAGCACTTCCAATGGATGACATTCTTGAATCAAGTATGTGGAAAACCGAATTAGCCAAGGAGTTCCTACAAGTGCAGTCAATAATGGGAATGGCTAAATCACGAGAGACGTGCGGTAATTTTAAGGCTGTTAGCTTCAGTGGCTCCGAAGTACACCCAGATCAACCGTTGGCCGGGCTAAAGCGCAGACCAAAACTGCCAGATAACTTCATCGATGGTGAGTTTTCCGTAACGGATGAGACCGTTGGAAATCGGTCTGACAGCATCAAGGTAACGTCGAAATATAACACATCCAGCTCCAGCACATCGTCCATCAGTTCCATCAATGTCGTTGGGAAGCAGCCAACCTGCACCAGAATGATCCACCTAATGAAGACAATAGGAACAAAAGTAAGTAACCGATAACAGAGTATTAAATTATCTTTTCACACTTGTATTAGTCCGTAGATTCATCCCTTTTGTATAAGCTACCTTCAGGGAATGCAAGTGTGATCTTTTTCTGAGGCTGAGAAAGGGGTTTCCCAATAACTGGAACAGTTTTCTTGATTTTTAAAAAATATCTTCTTCTCAAGATTGTTCGGAAATTTATTATGCTTGAAATAAACCAAATGCACCATCAACCGAGATTTTGCCCAATGAGTGTTACTGTTAAGTGATAAAAGCTGAGAACTGCTAAACACTTGCTTAAATTTTGTTTGGAACTGTCAGCGATGCACAGTCTCACATATCTCCAATCACATTGGGACCTACGTCATTCAGGTTGGCAGTTGCGCCCAAAATCTCAGGGTCCTGAGTGACAGACCACTAGTGGGATCAACTTACACTTAGATAGGATGCAGCACCGCTCAACTTTCACTCACACAGTTCAAGTCGTGTGATCCAGTTTCGAGTGTCCTCTCGAATGATTACCTCTTAAACTAGGGATCGGAGTGAGTAAGTGAATTTTTGTTCCAGAGCAGTTTGTAGATAAAGAGTAGGTTCTTAAGGTTCATGTAAGATTTTATCGTGACAGCAATCTTAACCTATATTGAGAAATGGACAAGAGCTAACAACCACACCAGTGTAACTTAGGTAAAATTAAGAGAACCTTGTTTTTTAATATCACTTAATCACGGTAAACTCTTCCAGCGTCGCATACACATGGTAAGAAAACTCATCCACGTTATCGGTGGTTAATTTTAAAGATAGAAGACATCGATTCTGCTGATAGGCTTATGTTTAAACGCACTTTTGTGACCCTTCGGGTGGTGAATGGTTAGCGTGGATAATCTAATGCTGCGGTCTTCTTTTGTACGATGGGCACAACTTCTCAAGTGAGCAACGTGGTGCTCATGTGCAGTGATCGTACTCTGATGATCCCACTGAGGACGGAAGTATTTTTTTCCTGACATTCATACGGCCTCGCTTTATGAAGACCGGAAAGTGCAATACCTCGATCACGTAAAGGCGATATGTTCCTCCAAATGGGATTCGTCTATTTGGATGTTCCCGGGAGTTTTTGTGCTGGGACATTTCCACAGCACCCTTAACTAGGTAATGTCTCAGGGTTCTACCATAAGGAACACCTAGGCACTAAAGAACCACTCACGGGGATCGTTTTCGACAGCGTTAAGTCTTTAACAACTGAGGACTTATACTCTGGAAGCTAACTTTGAGGAAGTTGTAAACTAACACAGCAAAATTTCAAAGCCGAGTTTTTAGTACTCGATGTCCATACAGCGTGCTTTCACGATATGCCTTCGTATTGCTTCTTCAACATTAATTTGAAGACTGGTACTATCCATTGGGTAAACTGCAGCCACTAATCGTGACGCACTATTGCTAATTACCATGAACCCATTAGTGGCACCAAGAGACAATAGCCAATGAATATTCGGAAAATTGTTTGGGAACTTCGGCTTAAAATGGCCCTAGCGACCTTATCTCGGTTATCATTAGGGCATTATTCTTTCTTTACGCAAAAGTGAACACCTCTGCATTCAAGGAACCCACTTTGTTTCGAAGTTTTCACAGCTTTGCAGGTGGCTAAGGTTTGGAAGGCTACCACCCTGTTGTAATCAGCTGTTCGTTTGGGCAGTATCAAGAAACAGACACCACTCTTTCTATCGAAAATAGTTGTCGGCTTCTGAGGAAGAACTACTCCTCACAATAATGGGATACCAGTTAGGGCAATCCGAAATGTCCCTACATACGAGGTGTGTCCTTCCCATGGTTTGTCAGTATTCTTTTGAATCCTCAGAAGCAGTTAGAGCAATCATTTTCACCTTAATTGGCCTGGAGAAGACGCAGTGTATGTTGAAAATTTGATTTTTCATGACTCAGTAAATATCTGGCTTAAGTTTACTGATAATTATCCTCACACAGCCGTATTCCTTTCCAAAACACCATACCATCAACAGGCGTTAGAGACCCTTCAAAACAAGAAATTATCCTTTAAGTCGAAGAGTTGTCAGTAAATTTGAATCCGAATTCCGCAGTTTGTTCAGCGCCGCAAATGAACTACGAAAAAAGGCAAACATCTCTCTTGTTTGCAGGCGAACCGGCTGAGAGTACTCACAGAGGAAGTAGGGAAACAGACACTTACTGGCTTGGAGTCTGCTGTCCTCGAAGAAACCAACTAAACACTTTATGCCATCTTCTTGCTGAGGAGAGACCGTAAAGCTTTCTGAACCAGGACACACCTCAGCAAAATAATGAGCAAAGCTCCCAAGGGGGGAGGAGGCGGAGGATAAGTTAGAGGATGTGAAGTTCGACGGAATTCTGGCAACTGCCGCTCTCATGGAGTGCGGTGGTCCCACTCCCCTCGTGATAGGATTTCTTGTAGCTTGTAGCTCCAAGTTTATAGCTGAAATGCTGTTGAGGTGCACATTGTTCTTAAGTTGCTTCTTCACGGTCTTAACTTTAGTATTCTTGTGAGCAGTCTACTTGATGCGTATCATGAACAGCGTTGGAACTCATGAATATATATATATATATATAAGCTTTGGAAAGAAGTTTACTGAAGAAGCCAAAATGACATCTTTCTGAAGGAGAAACATTGCGTAATGTGATGATGTTCTGCAGGTTGTTTTACGAAGCTTGCGCCATCAAGATCCGAAAATGCTTGTCCACTTGAATCTTTTAATGGCGCACTATTTTTGCACGCTGTTTCTGGGAAACTACTAATTGGATTGGATGGTCAGTGAGCGGTGACCAACAGTTGGTGGTAAATGTGAAAAAGCGGAAATTTACTGTTTATTTGCAGAAAACTGTCCTGTGTAACACGTAATTCATAAGATTGCTGAAAATTCGTCGACAGCTCATGATAGGATTTTTGCTATTTGGGGGCTCCCAAGATCCTGCCAACTTTATATTCTTTTTGAAACCGAATTGGACAGAATCCACCAACTACTCTCATTTGCATATGAGTTTGGTTTTGATGGGAGACTCAACTCATTCCAGTCGAATCTTTCATTCATAATGACCTCATTCGTGAGAGATTCGGCTGAATTCAGTTGAGTATATCGTCAAAACCAAATCCGAATGCATTTGAAAGTGTTTAGCTCAAAAGTTTTCCGTTCTTATTATTAATTGTCTAGTTGCCCATTGGTTTGCTGAATCCACGATTCTAATTCTCTGCTAGCTTCAACCAGTGGAACTTAACCCAGACAGAGGGATTACAGAAATTCAGCGTGTAAAAGCTCAACTTGGAGAACATCTGTCTTACGCTGATCGAATGCGCCACGCCATCACACTCAAACAATCTGCACTACGGAGACAACGGTTGGGAACAAGGTCAGTGTCACTATTCATGAATGAATAAAGATTGATCGAAATGTACTGCTGTCACTGTTACTTAGAAAGCCATGCGAGTATGGCTGGGGCCCGAAGCTAAACTTGGCTGCGCGGGTATATTTCTCATGTCCCTGAGGCGACTGATGTCAGGACATTCTACCTAGGCTCAACCTGAGACACACTGTAAACAGCCCTGGAGAATACATAGATCGTTCAGACGATGTTCTACGGCCGATTCTACACTTTATCAAACAGGCAAATAGAGCTAAAACCGTAAATTGTGAGTGACTCTATTCAAGTTTCCAGTGGTCATATCAGCCATTACTGACGTATTCACCACCAACTGACTGCATGTTTGTTTCTTGATATGTTATGGTCTACCCAGAAAAATCTAAACAGGCTTTTTGTGGTCACGGCTGAAACCAGAAAAAATGCAGTTCTCATGTCCATTCAGTCTTGATTCCCCATCAAGCTTCAGATTTTTTTTTGAACAGATGCGGTCAAACCGACATTTGCGATAGCTGTACAGAATTGCCGCCGTGATAAATTAAGCGTACGCTACAGTCGGGATTTAATAAGATTTAATGAGATCTTTGAGTTATAGTACCAAGTTAATGCCAAAATCAAGGCGCACTCTGTGAGTAATTTCAACTAGTAGGCGGCAGGTTGTGTAAAAAAGTGGTCAACGGATGCTAATTGTGTAATCATCCCAGGATAAGTGGTGCATTAAAGAGGTTTAGTCAGAGACACTACTAGAAACACCTGAACAGGCGAATAGAAAGTTGCCTAGTTCGAATAAGAAGCCTGGATCACTAAGTAAACCAAGTTTACTCCAAACGCTTACAGTACACGGCGATTATTCAAGGTCAAATATTTCTCTGTGTGCGGTCAAGAAAGTTCCCTCTTGACACTGTTTAAAAGTGAACCATGTAGTATCAGGGTAAGATCACTTTTGCCGCATAAGTGCTATGATTACTGCGTCGACCGATCGGTCCATGCTAACCATGGAAGAGACAACGCATATTAACTTGGACTTTGGTGACTACCATGCAGTTCTGTTAGATATCATATAAACTATGCTGATTTTTTGCTAAAGCTTACCAAAACAAAAGAGTTCATGGTTTCCAAACTGCATGTGAAAGGCTATCTCAGAGCACCTCCGAATTATCTTTTTAAATTAACCTAAAGCAGTTTCAGTTGCAACCAGCTGCCTGTTTCCAAAGTTGATCATTTGTACTGAACAGTAAGATCAACCTGCATGTTTTACAGTGTTCATCCACTATTTAACGAACCCACGATCAGAATATACACGAACGGGTTCTTCTCGCTTTACAGTGAACGAAAACGCCATGTGATGCACCTTTTTCCGTCCAGAAATTCTGTCGACAACTTAGTGCCACGTACCGTGATGCTGACTACACTGGAACAAGCACAAAGTTCACAGAGAACTACGGGCCATCCAACAACTAAGAAAAAAGCTCTCAGTTTGCTCAACCTGCAAGAAATGAGTCTGATGAATACAGATTTTGAGAACAATAAACGGAAGGACCATGAGAAAGCGGAACAGTAGTCTTTGAGATGTGGATCGTGCTCTAACTGTCAAGGTTATTCTTCTGAATGCAATGGTGACATTTTCAGTCTGTTTGTTTGTTGATTAGATGTCAGGATAGTGATGATGAATATACGGCCGCTTACAACGCATCCAGTTTACAAAAAAAGACTTGGCACTATTCTAATAAGCTTTGGTCAATTTTCATTGAGTTTCCATAATTTGAACAGTGTTCAAGGCCGTTCGCCACTAAAAGCCAATGGGATGGTTGCCCACATGTGCTTGTTATGTATCGTTTCAGTTGTGATAACATCAATGGAAAAGGCAGAGTTCTGTCGTGAAACCCTCCTTAGTCTTGGCCGTCTTAGGTCATCATCATTATTAGCTGTAAGAACAGCGTGCTTGCCGTATAGTGGTTGTAGCTGCTAGTTTCGTCCACCTATGAAGTGGGTATGTGGGGTAGGAAGTTGCCAGACAACTGGATCACTTCGACTCAACCATCCAGTCACTGCGGAGTACCTAGTGTACAACGCTTCTAGGACTGGCTTTCGACAGCCACCAGCGTTCTGTATAGGTTGATTTTTGGCGAACAGTAGCCAGTCGTATGAGTTGTCTCGGGTGGGTATGACGAAGGCGGTGAGACATCAAAGCATACTAGATATACACTATGGGTTTCAACAATTTGTCTATGATTTAACAGTTATGAGCGATCAGCTGGGCCAACTTGTGGCTGCTAAGCTATCTCTTACGGTTCTCTAATGATTCTCTGTGCTAACACTGGATGAAGGGTGTTCAGCTGGCTGCACAACTACCTCAACTCAAACATAATGCGGTATCAGCTAACCAGTGGGGGACTCATCAGTGTGATTCGATGTGGTGTGCTGACATTGTAATGTAGGCCAGTCCGCATTAGTGGGTGGCTTTCAGGATGCCAGAGAGGTTGTCCATAAAAATGCAAAGATTAAGAATCCCACAGTATCTCCTCTCCTAACATAATTGAATCTTCTATAGAGGAGAATGTCGGTAGCTCAGGTGGCGTAGATGGTCGTTGGCTTGTTCGCTGAGCTGGGCAATTTGGTTGCAAACGTTTCATCACCAATCGAGGTGACATCATCAGTGCGTAGTTGTGCGTACCGCTACGCACAACTACGCACTGATGATGTCACCTCGATTGGTGATGAAACGTTTGCAACCAAATTGCCCAGCTCAGCGAACAAGCCAACGACCATAATTGAATCTATTATGCACTGGAAAAAGTGAAAAACGCCATTTGGCGGCCGGTACACACCTGTTTATAGCCCTACATGATCATTTGCCAGTCCGACGTGGTACAAAGCTATCTCTTGTTTCAATCCTAGAAATAAGCTCGTATTACGGAACTTCTGGGCGATAAATGTTGATGTCTGCAACATGTGCTGGACGAAAGTCACAGACAGCAATTCGGCGAAGGTGGGTTCTTGTGTCGTGGTTGACCGCCTTCATTGAGCCTGCCAGACTATGCGATAAGGAGAAGACAGAGAACTCGGGACACGGCTTTATTGTCAGGACAAAACATAGAGAGCTTCTGCGCAAATATATAGAATGACTAAATGGCCAAATATGGTCGTTCACTTGTTCATTCTGTGCAGCTAATGGCGGTGTTCCGGTCGTGAGCAATATCAGCCCCAGTCCACTGGTCTTATGTTGCTAAGCCGTGTTTGGCTGCAGCCGCCAACTCACCTACATTCCGGACGTGTCGTACCGACGGTGACCTTGGGGGCGCGTCACTCTCTGCACATGTACTTTTTCCATGTCTGGGAGCGTCCTGACAGGAGTGGGGCTGGATTTCGGATTATTTAATTTTGATGACAGCCAGATGCGGTCACGTCACTTTAGCCTGTAATTTGGCCTAGGTGAGACCCTGGGAGCAAGTAAGGCAGTCCGGTTCGAGGAGGCTGATGTGGTTCTGGATTTGTTTGACAATGCTTATGGTGACTTGGATTCAAGCGACGGCAGAGTGTGATCGCTGCATGCTTTTAAGACTCAAGTGGATTCGGCGGAACTATAAGGATTTTCAGTTCCGTCCAAATTTTCAGCGGTGTGCATGCGTTCCTCTCACGGTAACGTTTAACGATACTACAAACAACTTTCAACTATAGTGGCCATCCGACGAAGTTCTAACTTCTAGAACTCGTGAACCGGTGTCCCTGTGGTAGAGCATTTAATGCTTCCGGTATTCGGAAATCTGAAGTTGATCAACATTAGAGTCTACATATACGGAACCCTGGCTGACAGACTTCCACGAGGATAGATAGCATAAAAATAGTCACAGACGAGAAATTCAGCTGGGATTCGGTTGAGCCTTCTGTTAACGCCAACTTAATTCATGGATGAGTACACTTTGCCAATTGGTTGCCGGATACTCTTGGGCTGCACTTACATGATGAACCCCAAAGAGGGCAAAACCTGTCGTGAGTAGTCAAAGAGTTTTCAGCAACTTTAGGGACCGTGAGTTTCTAAAGTTAATAAGCGAAGGGTGTTTCATCAAACACACTTAAGCAGATACAGAATACTGTAGGCTCTCCTGATGGTTGGCTGCTTACTAGAGAGAGAAGGCACACGGGATCGAGGATGGTGTGGGCTCTCTATGGGTAGTAGCTACTTCTCAGGCTATATGTTGAATAGTATTACCATGTGAAGAAACGTTGCAACAAGTTCTTGTACCTAGTTCCTTGATGCACCATGTTTTGTGGATAAGTACGATTTCATGTGTTGGATACAAACGCACTGAATGGGTCCGATCTTTTCAAACTATCGATTGTGGTCGAAGCAGATCGGTGGTTCTCAACCAGGGACGCAGATTTGCCGTCAAGAAGCGAAAGCCCACAGACTACCTGTCAACAGTCTGCTCATAATGATCGAGCAATCATCCAACGATTGCACACACCATGTACATAGGTTTCAAACAGGTAAACAAGCCGAGGAAACTAATCACTTAGACGCTTAAAAAGCTTGCACTCTCATCTCCCTTATTCAGACGCTATAATTAGAGTGCGTTCAGTATGAACTGATAGGATATTTGCGAACCACACACATCGTCTGTCAGATGTCGGATTCAAATGCGGGCTTGACCAAGAACATGTACAGCCGATAAGCTGTAATAAGGATGAAACTGAAGTTTACCATTTTTCCTTTGATGACGAATCGCCGAAGTACTTGAGCCTGGACCGATAGAGAACTGCTCACACAAAAGTAAGGTAAATACGAATCCTATATGCACCCAAATTTTGACCTTGGAATCACCGTAGTTCCCTGTTTGCTACTGAACCAACACTCTAAGGAGAAGGCGGTAACCGATCGGATGATAATGAAACAGAAGCTGACAAACGTACTAAGATATCATGTACTGTGATGTATTCATTGTGGCCTGCCTTAAACTGAGGAAATGTCTCGTCCAGATGACTGTTTGGTCTGCCGCACAGCAAAATTCATCCTGTCGCACCAGGTGTTTGTCCAACCGATTGATCGTTTGCGCATCAACTCTCGGTTACGTAATACCGTTCTTTTGATTATGCCCCGTGAAGGACCCATTACGTGTGGTAAGACCCTCCCCGTTAAATTTCTTGCAAGCAAGCCTGCCCCATTTAGACCGTGGGTGATTCGCTGCACTGTACGTCCGAATGGTGACATTTCATAGAATCAATATGGGGAGATTACAATCACACTGGATCCACATCTCGAGACGGAGATCTGCCAAACAGTGTTGTCTTGCAGACGGTATACCTACTTCCGGATAGGTGCTATTATCGCAATGGAAGTTTCAAAAGTGGTAGCATTCATAACAATTGCCACCGATAGCCTATGAACAGGTGACCATCATCATCACCATCATCATCATCATCATCATCATCATCATCATCATCATCATCAACACTACCATTATGATCCACTTTAAACTGTGGACGGATGGACTAATGGTCCTATCCGCCTTATGACTTCCAACGTGTTTGGCCAGCAATAATTAACGACATTTCGTTTCTAGAGCCGACTTCTTATACGCGTTCCTTACCTTGGAGCACCTAAGCTATACAGATTATTATTACTTGTGCGAATACATTCAACTGATTACGATCCCTCAGGCCCATTATGGACCAGAGCGAAGAGCTGAAGAAAAAACGATAAGGTCGACCGGTGTTGCGTCACTTCAAGATCTCTGTTAGGTTTTCTGGAACTGACGGAAAAATTACCACCACCTTCTCCTGTCTGGTCATTACCAGAGGAAGTGAGACTGTTATGCTCATATGGGAGCGTAATTCTGAGTTTTTACGCTTTGTGAGTAGGTTCAGATTAACTGGGAATGGCTTGATTTGTATTAGCAAACGGGCCTGCTAGATGACGGAATCATCAGAAATTTTAACCATTCTCGGCACGATATAGGATATGATAGAAGCAAATGTAAGATGCAACGGAAGCTTCATACCCAAGTTACTAGTCATTTTTTTCTTGCAATGAATCCTAAAACTGAGAAGAATCTCCTTGAACGCATGTGTGTGTCAGTGATAGTGTTTTTAATTTTCAGTGCCTTCAATCAGTGAAGGTAATGCTCACTTGATACTTTTGGTATACCACCCGGACAGGTCTTATTCTATACTAATGATTTATTGCATTCAGCTATCATAAGGAAACGAAGAGGAAATTGAATTACCGTCTTACATATGTCCACTTCAGCCAAGCTGAGATAATATTCATTAATCCAGCAGCTTTGAATTTTCGTTAAGTCGTACGAACAACGACTCACACGACTTTATTCATATGAATGCGCGGTGGCACAAAAGAACCGTCATGATTAAATGACACCATCGGCTTGGGATAAACTTTGAGATTCAAGCGTGATTGACGACAATTAATAATCGGTCTTCCGCCAGTTTGTGAGCAACCTGAAAACCGCAATCCAGAGTTGACTATGTGGTGAACGCTATGAAGTGAGAGAGTGTGGGGGCGAAGCCGTCTACAAAAGAATATTTCCTCCTCACAAAACGGTGACTACTGTCCAGATCAGCAAGTTAAGCCTTACTTTTTCCTGAGAATACTAATAAAAGCCTCAGTGGAGGAAATGGTCACCAAATACCCTATTTCCCTTGTCAGATGTCACTTAGTGAGGGTTTTCACTGTGACCGGTATCACCATGAAATCTAGACACAAACAAAACAGTTCTTGTATGCTGCTTGCTTTAGGTTACGTGTGACGAAGTTAATCTCCCAGGATGCTGATTTGTTTCCAATTTTTTGAGGCATGACCTTTTAATCAGAAGGTCAAGGATTAAAAAATTACCATATGTACTACCTTTTAACCTACATAAGGGCAGAGATGCTAGTAGGGCTAAGTTTGTGTCTAAGGATGTTTACCTGATTTTTTTGCTATCTATCTCTGTATTCCACTAGCTAGTGTCCAAGTGATCTCCTGTTAAGACCTTCAGCTCGCAGTTGACGAAAAGCTGCAATTTTCCTTATTACGTAGTAACTGAAAAATACATTGTATGGCCGTTTGTTGTTATCTGCACAACGTGCCCCACGATACGACAATTCGGCCAATCATATTGACCAGAAATTTTCAAATTAACAAGCGCTTCCGTCGAAAATCGGATCCCTCCATGTCATAGGGACCAGGTGTTTCAATCCACTCACAGCGATGAACGCTAGGTAAACGAATTTACTCACCTAAGATAATACTCTCGACTGCCCCTATCCATTTTGCTTCTACAGTAACCGAAAAGAACGCCAAGTATTCGGAACCAATCATGTTTGTATTTCAACCACGTTAACTCAAACCAGACTGGCTTAGTAATCAAGCTCAAAAATCAGCATTGCAGTGTGATGTATAGACAAGCGGCGGGATGAATCCAGGAAGGCGGTCACAAGCTTTCCGACTAAAATCGACGCACCGAAATACTGGAGCCGAACTGCTCACTCGAATTCCATTCCAGCTGATTATCGCGTTCAACTATTTCCTCCAGTTCATAACCTCTTGTGTCCGGTAGTGGTAGAAGAGCAACAACTACCAAAGCAATCGAAACGGTGTAGAAAGCTATCGGCACGCCGTGACCAAGGGAAGTGTCCAAAGCGTTGGTGAAGCTGCACAAAGCAGATCCCAGTCGCGCAAAGCCAGCACAAAAGCCCAAGCCTTTAGACCGCAGTAGCGTTGGGAACAACTCGGGTATATAAATGTATATCATATCCATGCCAGATTCCAACATAAGCAGAGACAAACCTACACAGATAGTTAGAATTATGTCTTTTGGATCAACGTTAGTCAGCGTACAAAGGGCGGCTACGAGTGAAGTCAGGAAGGCTGATGTGAAAACTCCAATGATGGGTCGTTTACGCCAGCTAAAAATCCTATATAGTGCACACGAAAGTAGAGTTCCAGGAAGCGCTGTGGCCGAATTAATCACAGTAACAAGATAAACGTTTCCTCGCACATGATTACTGTACAACAAAAGCCCGAAATAACAATATATATGACAAAGAAATACCAAGGATCCCAGTATTATGCGCCTGGTTAGTTCTGATGAACGGAAAAACTCCCAGATACTGGTCGATTTGATCCAGTGGACAAAACTTTTTTTCCTCCGCGTCTCCGCATCCAGGGCTACATCCATCCGTGTTGCAGTGTTCCTGCTTCCCACCATCTCGGTAAAGGTTCTCAAACGAGCCAGTTCTTCCTCCGGGGGATACTGTCCAAAGTGGTTATAACGGTAGCCTGAGACTAACACATCTAACGCCTTTTTGCTTTCTCCACGAGCCAAGTACCATCTTGGTGACTCAGGACCGACAAAGAAGTACACAACACCGGCAAATCCAACCCCGGTCATAGCGAAATTCAACCACCGCCAATCAGGGATCAGATAAGCCAAAAATGCGACAAAAGCCCTCGCACAGAATGACTGCAACATGGTCCAAAACGAGCACAATATTGACCTCCATTTGGGAATCGTTAGCTCAAACACGAGGATGTACAGGACGGTTAATCGTGCGCTATCAGCCGCACCCAGAATAAACCTACCCAAGCATAGCCAAGCAACGTTCGGTGAAAATGAGGCAAGAAAGCCTGTCGTCGTACCCAGGGTGTACCAAAATATAATAGTGGGTCGTCGGCCGAACCTGTCCCCCGCCCATCCTCCCAGATAGAATCCTAGAAGCATTCCAATCATAAACATTGTCGTGCTGAATGGTTCCAACCAGGCCCGGTCACAAACAAGATCAAAAGATTCAATGATACTGGATGGATATTGATCCTTTCGGGGCTCGTATACGTAGCCATTTGGGCACCTCTGAACCATGGGTGTATAAAGGCTGGAGTATGTCAGGTTGGAAAGAGACCAGAACTCTGTCGAGTTTAACTTTCCAGACAGTCTATGATAACATTCGGGCAGATAGGAATAGACGACATCCACGTTCGTGGGATTGCCTCGGATAAATTGAGTCGCTTCTTCAAAAGTCATATTCTGGAGCAGACTTTCCATATCATCCTGCATGCGGCACCGCACATTGGGTTTGGCGTTGCCAAAAATACTGAACATTTCATACGGTGGTAATCCGATAACTCCAGTGCACAAAAGTATGCACTGCCATAAGCCATGGGGACCGATAACATAGGCCAATACATCATCCATAGATTGCAGCTCTACCTGTTTGTCTTCGTGTACTGATTCACACTTCTTGTCACGTTTGTTCATGTTGCAACCGAACCGTAATTAGACGGAAAATCCTCAAAAACCAGTGCGAACTCCTTTCAGAGCAATCAGGGAATCTCTCAATGTACGGCTTTTTTCTTCGTTCGGTCAAGTTACTGGATTGGTCGGATTGTGCTTAAAAAGGATAGTAATCCACAGAATCTCTTCAGACTAAATCAGTGTTGATCGACCGGCTGCTGATCGCATTGCAGGATAGTTCGGGAACCGGCTCTATATACCTCACGGTAAGCACCAGTGCCAAACGAGAACTTGGATTGGTTGATACACAATGAATCGTTTACAAGGATCATAAAAAAATCGGCTGACAAACCCCACACAACTTGGAACAAGGTTATGCGCCTGCATAATTAGAAAAATTTGCATAGATGTTTCGGAAGTTCACGTAAGTGCAAGAATAAGTTTCGTTTTCGAGAGGCACCGAAAATGCAGTCCGTTGTGGCGAATACCTACCAAACTAAACAAGTCAGACTATGCTAATTGGCACAGTCTAACTTCTTTGATTGGGATGAATAAGAGACCATATAATTTTGTGTAGGTGATATTCGCAGGAAAAAGCAGTCTGACGATGATTGCAATACAGTAAAGCGCCCGGAACTGTCAATGCGCAGGTAGAAATTTGAGATGAAACGACAGTGCAGTTGAAAAAGTGAACAAACGACGTTCAGTTTTTGCCAACGGACCCCAAAGTTTAGACGACTAGTTGTCATTATGATACACAGTGCAATCGCGATGGACTAATGGACAAACATGCCTTGAAGTCGAATCTAAGCAACAAACCAGCACTGACTACAGTAAGTGTGGCTGCGCACCTTACAAGGCGTTTGCCGCCAATGTAGTGAACTTTGCTAAGTCTCCTGACAACTGGCAGACTTATACTTCCTTGAGTTGCAAGCGAAAGTTCACGTAATACGATCTACTTATAGATCGGAGTGGTCGAAGACGAAGGTCCTATGCAGATATGTTGCTTTTTGTTGTTGCGCGGGCACCAGTCAACCGGTAACTCGATAAACAGCAGGCAAAGTATTTTATCACAGATCACTGCAAAATTGATATTATCTTCCTTCAACCCCTTTTCAACGTTGTTTTCCCACACGCACGAGAAACACCAGACCGGAAGAACGGGTCTTCCTATGATATCGTCATCATCAACATCGACAACATAACATCAGCGTTCAACGCCGATGCTTCACCGCCGTTTTGTGGGACTCACCGCATGTCTTTGAGTGCAGTTAACTTGCTAATAAAATTCACGTTTCGGCTGAAAAAAAACCTAAAGTGGCGTAAGCATGGATTTTTCCCGGTGGAGAAGCATTCTACACCCTTCATTCCCATGAATAAGTGGGACATCACTGGTGTTGACCTGTTTTCGTGAACAAAAAGGGTCGAACGCTTAGTTGTACACTTTCTGAATCCTTCTCACTGTACATTGAGCTCCAGTAACCCAGTGGTTAAGGCATCAGCTCATTAACCAGGTCTCTGGTTCCAACCCAAACATGGGTCTGGGCTTGGGCAATGTGACGGTATCTCAGCCCTAGTATTTCCTTCGTGTGGCATGGCAGCTAGGCACAGAGAGGATGTAACACCTAAACTAATACAATGTAGCAATATACATATTGAACGAAGAGGGTACTCGAAAATGGGGTACCACCTGTTGAATCCACCTACCTTACGAACTAGGATATGAGAAAAGCGGTCGGTCACAAAAACAAATGCATAGGTATGACTTTGGAAAATTGGATTAGCAAATTTTTCGGACAAGATAAGGGAAGCCAACATATTTATTTGACCCTCAGACAACGTAGGCTAATTTTTCAGAGAAACTTTGATCACCAGAAGAAAATCCAGACTTCAGATTGTTGCAGTCTTTCCTTTCCGTGCATTAATCGGAATGGTATATAAGTCATCATCATCCTATTGAATTCTGAACTCATTAGACGTTGTTGGTTATACGCGTCCTTATTGCTAATACCACCGCCAATCTATAGCCTTCCGATGGTGAATGTTTGTGCAATTTTCATATCCGTCACATTCCTGTTCAAATTTTGTCAGGGATTACAATTCCATTACTTGCTTTTGGAGATTCGAAACTGTTCCTCAAGGAACAGCAAATCAACTGTTCCGTCAATCTCATGGTCTTATTGTGGTGTGTATATTTCTTATTATACATATCTTGCTTTGAGAGTTTCGTGTTCGTACAGTGTTGTCACTGCCACTAGTTGAATACACAGCGTGCCTGTACGTAACTGAATGTTTCACCACCAAATTACACCGAATCAACAACCTACAAAGTGGTTTTGTTATTTGACTTATTTGTTGTAAGCCTAAGCTCAGTGCTGCGTAGTTTTCACGTCGTTCTTAGTGAAGCTTATTGACTTTATCACATTTGTGAAATTCGAAATACCAAATGGATTAATGATATGTAGGTAGTTAGATGAAGATGAATTCTCGCACTGGGTTAACCGTTATCTTCGCTATTCTTGCGGTTTCTTTGGTTCGAGGGATATGCTCCAGTGCTCCATAACGAGTTAATTTATCGCAATAGGATTCTGAGATGACAGTTTTGAATAGCCTCCAACCGTGTTGGAGCGGCGCTCTCCGTTCCTGGATATCCGTCTTAGAATTTGATCACCAATTGGTTATGCAAGATATGCACGGTTTTCAACACAAAACGAATGAGAAATGAACGAAGCCCCCAATTTTACCATGCTAATGAAGAAGATACATTAGCACGCGTAAACGTGGCAAGTTGTTTCGATAAAACTACGTTTCAACGCACATCATTCGTCACCAAAGTTATTTTCATGTCATGAAGGTTGTCAAAACAGGAGCAGGAAAACAGCTGTTCTCGGCATAGGCCACAAGAACTGTTCACTGAGGTTTCACCAGCCTAAATTCTAGTGCGTTGGACAACGATTGTAGTTTTTTGGAATAACTACCTACTTTTTAAAAGAATGAGTTATGTATACAGAGCTTTGTGCTCAAAATTGTCCGGTGACATACCGTAGATTTTAACACGCCACGTATAAAGAATGGTTTGCACAACTAAGCACCGGCAAGTTTTGGATAATGTTTAGCACTAGAATGCGTTTTTGTGGCCCAGGAAATGTTTCCTCGAATTCATAAGGCACCTACACTAAAAGCACGTGCCTAAAAAACTGAGGCCATAAGCTTCCCTCACGCATTGAGAATCCCACAAATGTCCATTCGGAGTGAACATGTATTCAAGTGCTTTGTTTCTGGGTCACACAAACATGAGCTCACTGGATAACTATCAACCATCGCGAGGGATATACCATGGAGCTTTTTAGTTCGACAACCCAGTATCCTCCAGAGTCGACGCTACAATGTGAACCAACTATTAAACTGTCTAGGTGTGCTGTGTAGAACAGCGCACAGGCTCGCACTTCCTTAGGTGAATGCGATGCTGCCTGTCTGAAGGTGCATTCCATAGTAATATTAGGAGAGTTCGATAAGTAAGGTGTACCAAATAGCGAGAAAACTTTTTAGTATACGCACACTATATAACGCACGGAATTTACATGATGTTTGTCTTGAGGATGTTATCTCTCTCTTAATACAAGAATGAAAAATTTGCAATGATCAGGTGAACATCCTTGAACAGTACTACGAGAAGCACCGAACTTTCATCACCTTGTAATCTCCTCAACTGTTGAGTAGGTAGTCCAACCAAATGAAATCTTACTACTCACAAAATACAAGCAACAGAAGTGTGATGGGTAAGTTTCGGTAGCACAACGCCCTCTCACACATCCAAATTTGTTTTATCCTGATCATCACACAAAAGACATCCATCTCTCGAGTAGCATCATTCGGCTGGGCAAAGTCTGAAATCCAGCCCTCTGCAACACGAAAATAACAGCAAGCATTGACAGTAGAGCTGTCCATAGTTGCTGAAGGTCTCGACTAGTTTATGCGCATCACTCCGCGTTGCGCCACGCAAGCTGTAACAGTGAACAATCAACACCTCAATATCCACAAACGCATGAAATCCAACTGAACTCCAAAAGCTATATTACACCCCATATTTACACAGTTGTATAGTGGTCGGTACAAAAGACAAGACAAAAATTTACATCGTCGATTGGTTCCCTGAACAAATGACATCAAATGAGAGAAGACAGAGAAGCGTCAGCTATCTGCTGCTGGACTGCCGTTAGTATGTTCTGCTTCTGTCGGTATTGTGTACTGCACCGGCAGGCCATGGAGACCTTCCTGCACCTTAGCAACTGGAGTCTGACCGAGCAATGGATCCAAGCCAAACCAGGAACGCTGGAAGCTGGATGAGGAGTTCTCAGTTCCCACTAATGCCCACTCGCCACGTGTAGCTAGAGCACTGTTACTGGAGCCGTCCACAGTGGTGCTAGCTTTGCTGGTTGATTGACACACACGAAGCCTTCCAGTGATTAAGGAGATATCTACAACTTCTTCAGCTGTTGAGGATTGTGCTGGAACTACTTGTTCTTCAGGGATGTAGGAAGTTCCACCTAAGATAATAGGGAAGAAAGTCAAGCATACAGCAAGAATGGAGGATATAATAAGGAACAATATAAACTATGCATTAGAAAAGATGGTGGAGGATACCGATCCAAGTGAAAATACCATGCGCGCGAGTAGAACAGCAGATTTAACGATGAGCTAGCGCTTCGACGACCCGGGTTCACATCCTGACAATGACAGCATGAGATTGGCTATCGGCCCAAGCGTCTCACTAAGATAAACTAAGGGACAGTTGCTGTTTTCTGACAAAAGCTGCAGGACAGTACGGAGATTCGAACCCATAGCTGATTGTGTTTCAAGCAACTCTTCAGTGCTGGTGTGATATGAAAATATACTGCGATATCTCGAATATCGTGCCAATCATGAGGCGAACTCTTCAGTGCTGGTGTGATATGAAAATATACTGCGATATCTCGAATATCGTGCCAACTGAATCATGAGGCGGCCTGTGTGCAGCACATTCAGCTGGAGGACGTCATAAACGAGAGATTCAATTGAGTCTACCGTGAAAACCAAATTGATTTGCAAATGAGTGTATTTCTCGAAGTACGATAATATATTATGCCACCCCAAACCGGAAGATATCACTCGTGAAATGGCAAAAACTGTTAAAGATGACAAACAGTACCTCAAAAACAACTAAACTTTTGCCGCTAAACGTTCTTGATGACAGAACAATCAAACGGGCATAGGTGTACGTTGCACGCTGATAGTGGTTTGTTCGATTTCAACACACTTCCTGAATCACATGGTTATCTGGGTACCAATGAAGAGTGGTACAATAACTTGTTGCTCCATAAGCTCATGCTGTTGATAGTGACAGAATGGGTGGTTGAGAAGAATTACCCATAGCAGTTATTCTAAAGAACAGTGATCCGGCACCACTCGGGTGGCCGTTAATCACCACGGAAACAAGCATAGTTAGGTTTCTTTTGGTGCTGATGTGGTAGCGGTTATGGTTTGT